TCCTACTTCCGTAGTGATACTGCCTCGGAAACCCAAGGAGGGGTCGCTATGAGTCGGGGCTGACTCGACGGCAAACAACAACAACAACAACAACACTGTGTCTGTCCATCTCAAAATTGCATGTTATACTCCTTTATTTTAAAGGTCGTTCCTTGACTTGTAACAATTTTGTCCTCTTCTTACTCTCTGGAAGAAAATAGTTATCAGGAGTGTGAAAGGCATCTTTCTACTGCTATTAGGAAGATAATATTGATTGTTAAAATCTTCACATGAATGTACTCAATCCATCTTGGCTCTGGTTTCTGTCACAGCAAAGGGAGGCTAAAGCTAGGGAGGACAAGGCTTCTTGGACCTTCTGTCTCCCTTGAGGGTGGACAGAAACCCTAGTGACCGTCCGAAATGAAGGATGCTGAGCTCTGGTGTCATAGTGCCTATGGCATTTGACTGCTAATCAGAAGGCTGGAGGTTCAAACACACCAGCTACTCCTTGGAAGGAAGATGGGGCAATCTACTTCTGTAGTGATACTGCCTTGGAAACCCAAGGAGGCGTCGCAATGAGTTGGATCTGACTCAGTGGCAGTGAGCTTGGGTTTTTTTTTTGGACTAATACTGAGAGTTAGAGTCAGAAGGATTCTGCAAATAAGTGAAATATGGAGGCTATAAATTTACAAATGTAAGTGTTAGCACTGTTTTATAGAAAACCTGCTATAGGTCAGTGTTGGATTGCTTGACCTCTCCTTCTATGATAGCCTAATGTATAAGACACTGAGGCATCTGCTTCCTTTTGTGGAGTTCTGGAAGTTAACTTAATCTACCACTGGGTACACAACAGTGTAAATTATATGGCCTTGCTGTGTTTGAATTTGCCTCATACAAATCAGGCAAACTAATACTAATATGCATTATTAACCTCTGGATATAAATGCTAAAAGTCAAGTGAGAATTGAATGATTACATTTAACAAATTCAGTAGTGATAAGTATTATCATAGTATCAGGATACTGACATATGAATGTCAAAAATTTTTAAATGATTATTCACAGAATAGTCAGTGACCCATAAAGTTACTCTGTTCTAAAAACCATTTACTACCTATGGAGGTTATTTTTAGGAAGGTAATCCAGTTAATCTGATTAATTTACATTTAGACAAAAAATAAGAATTTTAGAAAGATAAGAACTAGTGTTCCACAGGTATTAGCAAAATAACCAAACCTAAGAAATATCAACTGTATATTAATTAAAAAGATAGATTTCAACTGACTTTATGAGTAAATTGAATAGATAAAAATAAGAAATTTGTCATTGTACTATCGTCTAGTTGTCCAAAATGTTAATCCACATCATTATGCAAGTAAGTCTCTATGACCAAAACCAAATCAAACCCACTACCATTGAGTAGATTCTGACTCAAACTCATAGTGACCTCCCCCCACCCCCACCAGGATCAAGTACAACTGCCCCAACAGGGTATGTAAGGCAATAAATTTTCTGGAAGCAGGCTGCCTCATCTTTCTCCTGTGGAATGGCTAGTGGGTTCAAACCACTGACCTGTTTAGCAGCTGAATGCTTTAACCACTATGCCATCAGAGCTCCTCAGTCTCTATGAAGTTACTAGTAAATACTGGGTTGGCTGTGGCTTCTATCCTAAATTACATTTAAAACCCAGTATCTCTGTTTCAAAGGCATGCAGACCTTCTCAATAGGACAGTTAGCCCATTTATTTTTTCTTTCATCAATAAATACTTGGCTTTAGATTTTAAAAATTCTATAGAATATAGTAAAATACTGATCTGTTCAACAAATAGATCTGATTTGAATGAGAATGTAGATATTTATCAATAACACAGAGCTTTCTGGTCTAATAATAAATATCTTGGATGCTAAAGACTAATCAATTCTAGCATCTACCAGAAAACTGAAACAGTGAGAACATGTGTACTCTGAGTAGTTGTAAGACCAAAGTAATTTCCTTAAATTATTGCAATTTCCAGTTTTAATTTGGGAAAGAAAAATGTTCTGGCTATAAAGTCTGGCTACTAATGTAAAATTCAAGTTAAATATTTGTAAGAATACTTCACAACAGCCTGAGAAGATATACAACCAGAATGCCTCTGGTCAGTGAGTCCCAGTTCTAAACAATTTGTAAGTGTTCAGTTTGTACTCAATTGTATCATCTGCTAAGAATTAAAAAACCACATTTTATGTTCAGCTGTTAATGCTAGGGTCCATATTTAGTTTTATAACCTTTTCCCTGTTTTTATTTTATTATTATTATTTTTGGCTCACGAATTTGTTGATAAGAAATGTTATGAGTGGACTGTTAATAAACTTCAATTTAGTTCTGTAATAGCAAGAATTTTAAAATTAAGATGTAGATTTCTTTTTTAAAAAAGCAGCAAGAATGGTGAGACTTGAGCTTGATTACTCAGCGGAAACCAGGCAGCTTCTCTGTGAGATGGATCAACAACAGACACAACAATAAACTCAAACAAACCAACGATTGTGGAGATGTTAACATTTGGTTCTGTTATATGTAAGGTTGCCATGAGTCAGAACCAACTGGACAGCAACTAACAACAACAACATATATGCCTTGTCAACATTATGGTTCTTCTGTCTAAAGACGTTACTGCTGTTGCGATCAAAAGGAAGGCCAAGAACTTGGCAAATGATGGTATTGACCCTTTCCTATCTGGAGTTCTCAGAGTAGTAGCAGGCCCTTGGCAGTGACCATGATTACTTTTTAGCCATCAGCAATTAGCTACCATCATTGAAAGTAACAGAGGTGCTGGTAAAGGGTCTGGCTTGCTAAGATGGGATGTTGTAGTAACATGGTAAGGGCTTACCTACCTGAATTATGTCTAAGGTGTGTGGCCAAGTAAATATGGAGGTATTTTCGGGGAGCTCTGATGTCTCAAGCTACAAATGTGTTAAGCTTTACTCTAAACCTCTGTTGGCTTGTTACTAAGATGCTCATATCCCATGCTGCTACCAGAAAGAACCAAAGGGCAGGAAGGAGCAGGAAACACGTCTTAAAGAACTTACTGAATTGGCTTCTTTTTCCAAAGAAGAGCACGAATTGTTGCTTGCTGGATTCTTTGGTATCGCAAGTTCAGACTTCTTAGCTTTTGGCTCAGCTTTGCTTTCTTTGGCAACTGGTTTTGTCACAGATTTAGGAGGACTCCACTTGTTAGGTAGTGGCTTGTGCACCAGTGCTGAGGAGAACTGGCTTGACTCCTCACCTTCCTCTCTGTCTTCTGGAGGGTGCTGGGGTGCGTTCAGTTTCACATAGTAGCCGTGATACTGAGCATGTAGCTCCCCGTTGCTGGGGTTGGGGACATAGTGGCGGCCAGAGTACTTGGACTGGGGCACGACTGCTCCCATCTCTTTTGTAGGTGCCTTTGACATCAAGGGCTTGTTGACAATGGCCATTACCTGCTCGTCAGCCACACTCATTTTGTCTTGACTGAGTCTTGCCCCTGAGCTGGGGTTTTGCTTCTTCATGGGCTTTGGAGAGGGAGGCTGGGGAGAGTGGCTTTGCTTGGGACTTGGCTCAGGAGATCTTGGGGGTGTCGTGCCTTTGCGATAAAAATGAGGAGATTCCTTTGGTGAAGGTGGCTTTTCTGGTACTTTTTCTTCTGTATTTTCTTTAGCATCTATACCTTCTTGAAATTTGTGTTTGATGTAATCAGGGCCTGCAAAAAGAAAAAAAAGGCAACAGAAAGGAAAGTGATAAAATAAAAAACAAGGAAAAGGTTTATATGTTGTCCTTGTATCTCTATATCTATACTTATAAATATACAGATATACAGATACACATATTTCTTTTTTTCCTAAAGCAGATTAATTTTTTTTCCTTTAGGTATATTTACAAGGTTTTGACTAGGCATGAGCTCATTTCATTCTCCAGTAGAAAAGATCATTTATTGCTGAAAAGGTGCTTTTGAAACAACATATACAATTATTTCCATTATTTTGGTAGATATAAACATTAAACAGTTCTGACTCCTAACAACTGCATTGATCCTGCCTACCTGCAGAGCCCTGAAGTGCAATTCATGTTAATGGAGCACTCGTGTAAAAACCATAATTAATCTGATTATTCGCATGATGGGACATAGCTAATACACTGAGCATATATACATGAGTAAAGACATAAGATGATCTTTGTATGTGTTTGAAAATTTAATAAAAAGGACCTGCAGATGCCATATTTCTAACGATCCTCATCATTTAAACCTAATTAGGAACACTTCTGTGGTCTAGGTTGCACTACACAAAGTAACTTACATGCAGTCAGTCCTTTCACAATTGTGAAAACCAGGGATTCACACTGGCACTGCTTCTGAGGCCATCAAAATGGGACAAGGTGGTTGGTTGTCTTTGGTTCTGTATTCTCAGGATTTTTTCCTTTTCTATACATTTCAAGGTCATTTATAACCACCATATGTTATTTGTATAAATAGGGAATTTTTCATTTTAAAAAGTGCTCTGGTGCATTATTATTTCATGGGACAATTTGAGGGGCAGTGAGGAGTAAAGAAGCAAAGTGAACAGTGGGTGCCCTGAAAGCTTAAGGATATCCAAAGCAAAAACAAAACTCCCTGCCACTGAATTGATTCTGACTCATAGCGATCCCCCACCTCCTTTGGGTTTCCCAGGTGGTAAATCTTTACAGAAGTAGATTGCCCTGTCTTCTTTCCATGGAGTGGCTGGTGGGTTTGAACTGACAACTTTCTGGTTAGCAGTCAAATGCCTTAGGCACTACACCACAAGAGTGGCCCAGAAATAGAGGGTTTGGGGGCTCTCATAGTGTTCCTCCTACAAGGTTCTTTACCTCCTGGGTCCCTCCCCTGTAATAAGGTCACTTGCATCATTTGGCTAGACTCCATTCATGGTCACTTGGAATTTCACTAGAAGATATCAATGCAGTTGAGCCTCTCCTCTCTTTGCAAATGGGCAGGAGCTGGCAATATGGTCTCTTGAGTACACAAGTGAGGGACCTTTTCCACCAGCTTTCTCACAGATAGTAGACCAGCTCTTGTCACTTCCACAGAACTGCATCTGTCCAATTTCCTTCCTCCATAACCCCTCAACTCTGCCAAACTAACTTAAAAGATTTACAGAGGGGCTCAAGAGCAATTATTCTTAATTGTTAAAACAAACAAACAAAAAAGCCACACTGCCTGTTTATAACTGTAATCGGTGGTCTGAGTAATAATTTATTCTAATCAGATTACTTATTGTATCAGGTCTCAGGAAGTAGGCGTTATTATCTTGATTTTACTGATCAGTTCAACAGAGTAGGTGGAAAACTACAAGTCACATAGCTCCTGTGTATCCTTTAAAGTAAAATATGATACAATATATCATGTAATATTTCAAAACAGAAATGAAAATTCCTGAGTATTTACTGGAATTTTGGAGTTGGACCCGACTTACAGCGACCCTCCTTGGGTTTCTGAGATGGTATTATTATGGAAGTAGACTGCCCAACCTTCCTCCCGAGGAGCAGGCTGTAACCAGGATCAAAACCATAGTAGTTTTTACTTCTCACTCTCTGTCCTTCTAAAGGGAAATTTGCCCCTCAAGAATTCCAGTTTCCCAAATATGTCAAAATCGCATGTTAACAGATTTCCTTTCTAACCCTGATAAGCATCTCCTCTCCCCTTTTATAAATTGGTAATTTTCTTTTAAGTCTCTATAAAAATGGCTATCTATATCTATATCTGTATCTATATACATATATATGTCTATATAAACATTCTAGGAGCTCTGGTAGCATAGTGCCTAAGGCACCTGACTGCTAACCAGAAGGCTAGCAGTTCAAACCCACCAGCCACTCCTTGGAAGGAAGATGGGGCAATCTACTTCTGTAGTGATACTGCCTCGGCAACCCAAGGAGGGGTTGCTATGAGTCGGGTCCAACTTGACGGCACATAACAACAACAACAACATATAAACGTTCTTGGCTCAGGGAGAAGTATCTAACTTGAATAAGGAAAGGCAAACAAACACTCAGGGAGGACAACTGCAATCATTCAGAAGGGGAAGTCTTTGTTTCAGAATTCTTTCTTGCTACCCTGGGACTAACTGGGGCATACCACCTGGAGAAAGCAGCAGCGGCAAAAACAAGTGATGTTTCTCCATCAGCAGACTCAGCACCACTTTTAAAAACTCACTGAGATCATTTATACTGGCCTTTCATGGAGAAGGCTATCATTATGCTATTGCAGATTTGTTTTTACAAAACCCTTTCACCTCTTCAGTGATAAAGTACGTGGTAGAGTATGAAGGCGGTGTGCTTTCTCCTCACCCTTCTACACAAAATTTCTTCTGAGTTGCTTTTATTTGTGCATCACTGTTACTCAGTTTTCTAGCATTATTGAATTATCCATCTCAGTATGGTGGCGATGTACTGTGCAAGGATAACTAAGAGTCAAGGTTGTGTAGCCAAGGGATTTTGAATTTAAGCCACACAACAATGATCCTATCACACAATTGAGTTGATTCGACTCATAGTGATCCCTCTTTGGGTTTCCAAGGTGGTATTTCTATGGAAGTAGATCGCCAAGTCTTCTTTCCGAGGACTGGCTGGTGGGTTTGAACTGCCAGCCTTCTGGTTAGCAGTCAAATGCCTTAGGCACTATGTCACCAGAGCTCCTATTACACAAAGTAGAAAGTACTTATTGTGTCTTCAATCTAAGTGTAAGTGTACAAAGTATTTTTGTAAAATGCATACACATGTGCCTATGTCAAGCACATTCAAACCTCCTGTTTCACTTACATACCCATCAGAAAAGAGTGGGAAAAATAACACACTTGGCAAACATTAACACATTCTTAAACATTACACATTCTTAAAGATGGAAGGAAGAGTCACTGAACCAAGCTGTCACAAAGCCCATTTGCTTGTTGTGAGACCATAGCACTATGGCAGTAAAAACCTTAGAATTTGTCCTGGTGGCCTTCCATCCCACCAGCATTCACTGCGGATAGATGAGGAACAGAAATGGGAGCTGCTTTGACACCTGCTAGCAAGAAATGGAACTGATGAAACGCAGCTACAAGGCACATATTTTAGGGAATTATAGGCAATTCAATAAATGTTAGAAAACTTATTAATCATAATAATTTTAACGATAATAATAATAATAATAATAGTAATAATGACTTTTAAAGTCAGAACTTAAAGGGACATGCTTTACCTATCTGGAAGAAGAACAAAAGCCCATAATACTTGCACACAAAACACATTTTCACATTTTCAAATGCATTTAAAAATAGAACTCTCCCTACCTCTTAATTCCTACTACCATTAATAGGCCAAGTTGGGAATTATTTGGTCACTGGAAGAACGAATAGTAATGGAGTTATGAAGTTATATTTTGGACTCCATTGAATGTTATTTTTTATAATAGTTAATTAACTGTCAAATACAGTCTACTCACTTCTTTAGGCTTTTATAAGTCTGATGTGTTGCCTCTTTGGATACAGTTTTCTTGTCCTAAATATATTAGGAAAAGCACTTCTAACTTGATTACACTTGTCCAGTCCTTTAAGATGAGTCTTTCAGGCATATTCATCTGCATTGAACTAAAGGGCTTCCTCACAAAGCATGTTTCAAGATCTGTCCTGAAGTACAATGCTGTCAGTGATAGGATAATA